TGGCATGGGTGCCCGCAGGTCCCACCAGTGCCACCCCTGCCAGGCTGGGGACAGGTCAGGCGCCAGCCCTGAGCTAGGCAGGGCGCCGTGACCTCGCTGGGCACCTCTCCCTGCTCCAGCATTTTGGGGAGGTCAGGTCGTCTCCAGGTTCCTCTGAGACTCTTCCTCATTTCAATCCTTCTCCTTCATGCCCTGCTCCCCACCCCCGGCAGGCACGGAGAAGACAGTGGCCATGGTCGCGGGGGGGTTTCCCGCTACGGGACGCAGAAGAGGAGCCCTTCCTGCCCAGGCACCGGAGCTGCTGGCGTAGCCCCTGGGGCCGGGATGGTGAGCCACAAGGGGCTGAACGCCACGGACAGCCTGGAGTCCCTCTCCGTCCCCAAGCAGTTTGTCGCCCTGGAGGTGGTGGGTCTCCTCTGCATGGTCCTGCTGACCCTCACCGCCCTGGTAGCCAACGCCGTGGTGATGTTCGTCATTCTCAAAACCCCCCTTCTCAGGAAGTTCATCTTCGTCTGCCACCTCTGCGTGGTCGACCTCCTCTCTGCCATTTTCCTCATGCCCCTGGGGATCATCTCCAGCTCCTCCTGCTTCAGCAGGGTGATCTACAGCATTGCCGAGTGCCAGGCCTTGATATTCCTCAACGTCTGCTTCATCAGTGCCTCCATCCTCACCGTCTCCATCATCAGCGTGGAGCGCTACTACTACATCGTCCACCCCATGAGGTACGAGGTCAAGATGACCATCAGGCTGGCAGTGGCCGGAGTAATCTTCATTTGGGTCAAGTCTGTTCTCATCACCATCTTGGCACTGGTGGGCTGGCCTCAGGGCAACGGTGCCACCAGCGCCAGCCGCTGCACGGTCTACTGGAGCCCCGGGGCCCACAAGAAGGTTTTTGTCATCCTCTTCAGCATCGCCTGCTTTGTCCTGCCCACCATCATCATCTTTGCCGTCTACTGCAGCATCTACCGCGTGGCCCGTATGGCAACCCTACAGCAGGTGCCTGTGCCAGCACAGGCAACTGTGCCAAGACACCGGGCCGACTCCGTTGCCAGCCAAGTGACCATCATCACCACCCGGAACCTGCCACTGCCCAGGCTGACGCCGGAGCGCTTTTTGGGCAGCAACAAGGCCATCCTCACCTTGGTTCTCATTGTGGGACAGTTCTTGTGCTGCTGGCTGCCCTTCTTTGCATTCCATTTGCACTCCTCTGTCGCTGCTGGCGCGGCGGATGGCGGGCACGGGGAGATGGTGGTCACCTGGATCGCCTACTCCTCCTTCGCCATCAATCCCTTCTTCTACGGGCTGCTAGTCTCTTCCGGCTCCGGCGCAGCTGTTTCAACCGGCCTTTAGGCCAGGAGCTCTGCCTTTCCATCTCGGAGGCTTCTGTCCAGGAAAACTTCCTGCAGTTCCTGCAGAGAGCGACTTGCACGCTGGAGACCCATGCCAGCTGCATCAGCCCCAGCCCCAGGAACAGGCTGGACCAGACCAGGATGGACTTCCCCATCCCGGGTCAGGTTCCTGAAGAGAGCAGCTGAAGGGATGGGGACCTGGGCCCACCGTGCCGGGCGGGAGGGTGGGCGGGAGAC